CTCTTGAATCTGTTGTGCCTGCCTTTTGTCTCTTCTTCTTTGACAGTGTGACTTATAATCACACTTCATAGAGTGTCTCAGTGACATCTTTACAGTATCATGTAATCTTCTAGTGAAGCATATTTCACTGTGTTCACATTAAAAACTTCTTGTCTCTGACACTCCTGCAGGTGTGTCCTTTACCTCTACATTCTAGCAGGTTTGCGAGGTTACTGTTATTTTAAGCAGTGGAGTCATTTACAGTCACCATAGCCGTCGAGGTCCGCAGATTAGTCTACAGATTTCTCACTTCTGTTAGATGAGAGCCCTGTCACATTAAGGGCTCAATTCTTAGGGTCTTATACTGGTGTCATGGTTATGTGTTGGACTGCGATTCACATGGCCAGAAGTTCGAAACCACCAGCAGGTCCGAGGGAGAAAAACTGGTTTTCTACTCCCATAAACAGTTACATTCTCAGAAAGCCACAGAGAGTTGCTATGAATCAGTGTTGCCATGATGGTAATGAGTTTGGTTATTATTTTTTTAATACTTTCTAAGTGCTCAATAAAAATTTACTGATTTGAATGGTAAGTAAATACATTGTTCTCTTAGGAATTTCTCAGTAGGCTTTCAGTTCTACTCCTTATACAAGTGGACTCTTTTAGATGATGTGTTATCATTTTATTTGATTGGGGATTTGAATTCATTATTTGTTGATACTCAGGTATGCTTTCCTCTTATGTTATTATAGTACCTAAGCTGAGCATGAGCCCAAAATCTTTTGTGCAACTCAAGCCTGGTTCTTTACACCAGGAAACAAACTGATGAACTGAGATGGCAGTTATCCTTAGCTTGCCATCATTTCTATGGCCAGGCGAAAACCTTAGGTTGTTCCCTGGTTACAGTACCTTGAACTGTTTCCCACAGGTAGAACACAGGAAGTCTTTGCGGTCTGAGTGTCGCAGCATGTGGAGGCGCAATTTATCAGGACGACAGAAGGCCTTGTCACACTCCGTACATTGGTATATCTTTTCTGAGTGGAAGCTGCGCACATGTTTTTTCACCTGGCAATGGAAACCAGAAACAAACTCAGGGTAATCAGGCACCAGAGGCTATTAAAAGAGCAGTTTACCAACACTAGAGGGAGCCCAAGTGCTACCATGGATTTCATCACCTGAACATGTAATCCAATCAGACGCCATAATTGGCCTCAATAGCACGTACTATCCATGACACAAAGAAATAAAACACAAGAACCCCAAAACCTTGGAAATCTTCCCCCTCCCCTGTGGGCGGGAGAGGTAGCAGGTAGAGTGCTGGGTCAACTGGTCGGATAACTTGGAGCCCTTTTTTCAGATTAAAAGGTGAGTTCCTTTGGGTGTAAATAATCCTGCTAGGGCAAGATATGACAAAATACCCATTTATAAACTATCAAGGGCTCATGTGGGAGGGGGGAGCGGGGAGGGAGGGGAAAAATGAGGACCTAATGTCGGGGGTTTAAATGGAGAGAAAATGTTTTGAGAAATGATGTACAAATACGCTTTACACAATTGATGTGTGTATGGATTGGGATAACAGTTGTATGAGCCCCTAATAAAATGTTTAAAAAAAAAAATAATAATCCTGCTAAAAATGATCTAGAAGACAACAAATAAAACATTCTTCCTCACTTTTTTCCTGCCTCCAACATGTATAAGCAAAATTAGACTATTTTAGTAATATGTTCTTTTAGATCTTGGTCTAAAATCAGATTCTGCAAAATTAAAGACCCAAATTAGATGCTGTGGGAAACAAAACCCATTTGTGAGAGCAGTACAAGACTGGAGTGGTTTTCCCTTAATTGCAACTTACTCCTTTTGTTGTAAAAAATGTAAATAAAAAATTCTAAACCTCAGCATATTCAGACACTGCAGGAGAAATGAACACAAAGAGCTATGTAATGAGTCCGAGTAAGCTATTTCTAGAATCAGATTCTTTGCTTCTTTTTTTGCACTCTCTTTTACCTTCAGATCCCTCTTACATCAAACTTTCTAGTTCTGTGTGTGAGAAATCTCTAGATTCCCAACATTAACAGAACTATGATTAAATCCTAATCTCCTTTTGCTTTGGTAATAAATTATTTTTTAATTTTTAAAAGATTTCTATTGGATAGCTATTCATTGAATAAAATTTAACAATATTATCAATTATAGTTTGACATTCAAATAAAATCATGAGTACTCAGGAATTTATATTCACCCACTTTGTTTTAGCAAAGAATATAGTGCAGGGGAGGCAGGCAATGCTTGATATGAAAATATAATACACACCAGTTTTCCCCAAACTACCTGACCTGAATTAAGCACAACAGGAGACCACGATGGTAGGGAAGAGAAGTTTCCAATCCCAGACATGGGCTTTACATATATATTGCATAGAGAATTGATGGATAGAAAAATTTAAAAAGATGTATTTTGTATTAGAATTCAAATCAGGTCTAGGTGTTTATTACTTATAATAGCCTACATGTCCAAATTTGACATTCTGAATCGAATAACTAAGGGGAATAGTAATCTTCTATCAAAAATGGCTTCAGCAAAAAAAAAACAAAAACCATTGTTATGAACTGTCCTGTTATTTTAAAGAAGGGATGAAAATACAGAGACCAGGGTCTCAATTTCCCTAGAAACCATAGCTTCTTTTACCAAAGAAAAAGGAAAGGCAGAGGAAGCTTCGCCGGAGGCACTCACCTGGATAAAATCTGGGAAACGTTTTTTACAAGTTGGGCAGGTAAAGTAGCCATCATTGATATGAATGGCCACGTGATCTTTCAACAAATCAAGGCGGTCAAAGGATTCTGGGCAAAAAATGCAAGAGTAAGTCTTCTGGTCTGAGTGGAGCTTCATGTGGCTCTCCAAGGAAGTGCTGCTGATGAAGCCCTTGTTACAGAGGTCACAGGTCAAAGGGCAGTTCCCCTCCCGCCCATGGAAGCGCAAGTGTTGGTCCAGCTTGTCCTTTTCCCGGAAGGCCTTCCCACACTGTAAGCATTTAAAAGGCCGGAGGGATTTCCGAATAAACAGATGCTGAAGAGCTGCATTCTGAAAGACATACACAAATATGCTTATTTAGTGAGGAATTTAAATGTGCATGTGCCTTATACGTTTACAGCGAGAGGAAGAGTGAGCCCTGCAAGCACGGGCTTCCCCTAGAATTGTGAACTCTAGCACAGATCAAGGAAAGAAGATTCTTCTGGCGAAGCATTAAAAATTCAGCCATCCTCAAAGAACTTCATCTTGAAAAGACAAGCTTTTAATTTAAGGGTTTGCTTTTTGAATCTTTGTGTTTTCTCTGAAAATGTTTACATCATATTCAAAGGAGTGTTCCCAACAGAAGAATTGTATAAAAATTAAAAAAACAAATTCCAGAGTGGACTCGAATCAAAATGAAGACCTAGAAAGAAAGAAAGTCGTGGGCTGAGTTACACATGCATGGCGAGGCTGCAGAAGGCAGCCACAAAAATTACTTGTTGAAATCCTGGGGGGAAAATAACTTCAAGCCTGGTTAAAATGTTTAGCAAAATGAAAACGGTACTAAAAAGAACTGAAGAGTAGTCGTTGCTACTGGCCTGGGGCAGGAAGGAGAGAGGACTGGCTGCTAATGGGCATTAAATGTCGTCTGAGCATCGCCAAAATGCTCTGGAACTAGTGGCGACAGCTGCTCAACTTTCAGAATATAAACACTTTCCATTTAAAAGTGTGAATTCTATGGCATGTCACTTTAAAAGGCCAAACTGAGAGGGAAATACATGATTAGGATCCATGTGACGGTGTCTACTCACGAGACACAATCAACATAAGCACACAGTGCATTGAATAGTCACCCACTTAAAACACGCAGAGACCACGGCTTCAACACAGCTGTTAGTTCCACTGGTTAGAATGCCATGCTAACAAAGTTAATTGTCTTGTTCCCTGTCTCGATCAGTCCACTTTACTTTGTGTATGTGGGGTTTTATTCCCCCCTTCAGCCATAGACTGCAATTTTATTGAGTATTTCTTAGCCATCTTGCAAATTCATGCAATTGTTACATGGGATCCAAGTGAGAGAATGCAGATCATCAGTGCAAATCTATTGCTACAACTGGAAAAAGCCCTCATGCTCTGAGTGCCATTCAATAAGGTCATCTTTCACACAGAGAACACATGGTCAACCATTGAGTTAGACCATAATAAAATTCATTCATGCATTCCTCATAGGATCAGAGGGACAGCTCTAAATAGGACATAAGGGAGAAAAATCCCTCTAAAATATTTTTGTGAGTGGAAGTGCTTATATAGTTATGAGGGAATATCAACAGCAGATTTAATGGAGATCTAAATATAATATTTGTACAGTGGGAAAAAAGACCAGTGAGAAATGGACAAATTATTGCCAAAAAGTGACCATCAAATGAAATTGCATGTGATATAATCATTTGAGAAAAAAAGCAAAGTAATTCCTTTCAACTTGGTGAAAATGCTAAACTACAGAAATATATCTTTTGCTACACATAAAATAGAAACTGTTTTCTTAGAGCTAATTTCACCAGACTTGGGGAAGTATTTTTAAGATGTTCTCTACTCTAGACTATAAGCAATTACATTGCTTTCCTAAAGTGACTGTGGCTACTTGGGGGATGTGCATGGTATTGTACTTCCCTTTGTAACTAAAACACTTTAATAAATTATTTGGCTTCTTAGATGTGCTCATGGAAAGTGAGAAAATTAATGAAATATATTTCAAGAGACATTAATATATAGGCATGTGAATGAAAGATATATAATCTACACATATATACTTCAAGGTCATTTTGATAGCATCTGCAGAAATCTTGAGGACAGATCTTTTCCAAATCAGTCGTAGAGCTTTCTTTCACTCCACTATGTGCTACACAGCAGGCACCTAATCTTTTGACTCTCGCTGGATGAACACTTACTTTACATAAAAGCTCTTGCAATTGTGGCTGGTTTCCGTTTTAGGGAACCACACTGTCCTGATGCAAAGAGATTCTCAATTTAGAGAATTTAGATGCTCTTTGGGCATCTAAGGATCATTTCCTTTATCCAACATCAGTCATGTGCCCAAGGAGTGACACAATACACACCTATTGATCTTAGTCCTACCTGAGAGTCCATGTACTTTGCCAAATCCAGAACGCAGTTTTGTTTGGGTCCATTACACTAATCAGCTTGCTGTCATTCCTTATTAACCTGAGTGCCCTCAGACATTGATTTAAACTGAGCAGCCACCTGGCTCCACTTTCTTATTTCTATCTACTAATCTTACTCTTATCATCTTGTTCATTTCCAGAGAGTCTGACCATTGTCGAAATACTCAAGAAGAAGATCACACTTCTCTGGTCTCGTGATCTTCACATTACAAGGTATAAAACATGCTGAAACTGCTGCCCCCTGAACTACCTGCAGGCCATTTCCACTCTAAGCTTTCTTCCATAGCTCCGAGCCACAGTCAGCATGACTTTCTAACAGAAACCCTGAAACATAGGAGGGGTGGATGGATAGTCAGTCTCTGCGTTCCAGTTAAGCCATCACTCCATACTGTAAGGCACATCAAGTACCCCAAAGGTGCCAAAGATGTGAAATCTGTGATGGAAGAATTCATGAACCCCATGGGAATGAATTCTTAGATGACAAATTTCTGCAGACAAAGATGATAAAATGCAACTAGAGTCTGATATTAATAGCTAAAGGAACCTAATCAATTTTCATATTATTTTGATCCTAACATTAGATGACAAAAATAATCCAACTGCTGGGTTTGTTTTAAACAACCTTTCTCTGACCTATTTTATGCTGAGTTTGCAAAGTTTGGGGTTCAACATCTCTCACTCTGGTACCCTAGACTACGGTAAACCAGTATTTTCACTGTCTTATAACCATGCCAGATGCAGTCTGTGTCTGGGCCTGCAGTCCTACAGCTCTCCTCCTCTGAAAGAGTCTGCTCTTCTTTTGATCCAGCTAAAGTGTCTCTCTCTCTCTCTCTTTTTCGAGGACTAGTAAAGTTATACTTCATGCAAACATTTCTCCCTTTGGTCTTTTCTCTTCCAATTCAGATAGCAATTTGAGGCTACACCTTAAAATTAGCAATTACTGGGAAGCTAACATATTAACATTATCTCCCTTAATTGGACTGTACGGCCATACAGTGCAGGGTTCCAGTGAAAATGCTGTTATATCCCTTAGAGCAGTGGTTCTCAACCTGTGGGTCATGACCCCTTTGGGGGTCGAATGACCTTTTCACAGGAGTCGCCTGATTCATAACAGCAGCAAAATGACAGTTATGAAGTAGCAACGAAAATAATTTTATGGTTGGAGGGCACCACAACATGAACTGAATGAAAGGGTCACGACATTAGGAAGGTTGAGAACCCCTGCCCTAGAAGATCGAGTACAGTGCTGAATTTATAGTTAGAATTCAATACCACTCCAAATCATTTTAGAGCTGGAAGGGACCTTGGAGATCATTTAGTCCTATCCCTTTATTGTATACATGAAGAAACTGAGGCTCCCAATTTATTGATTGATGTCTTTGCAAATGAGTTGTTATCCATTAACTACTTTGCATTTGCTTTAGCAACCAAATTGTGATTTCCACCAGGACTTAGTAAGTAAAGGTTGCATAGAACAGCAGGTCAGGCAAACACTGAAACAGCAAACTGTTATGTAAAACACAGGAAACAAACCTACCTGCAGCTCCAACTGAGCAGGCAGCATTAGAGGAGAGAAAAATAGTTACATTACCAATTGGAACGGAAGACTTCCCTTCAGTTGGTCATTACCAACCTGGACAGAAAAGATGAAAAAATGTATAGCCCTACTTTTCAGAGGGTGTGAGGGAGAGAAAAAAGGCTCAACTAGGGCTGGCCTCCAGAAGTCATGTATACATGGCCTTCCCTTTAACACAAGGAACCATGTACGGAAACCAGTAACCGGATTCATTCAGAGATCATAGACTGGTTTGTACATCTACAACTGTACATGTGTGGACCTTTGTCTGTTACTTTTTTTCTTTTAAAAAATTGTATCTAGGTAAGCATTTCTCTGGATTTAGCAAAAACTTTAGAATATCCATGGTAGAAAAAATTGTGGTTGGACAAGAGAAAAATGTAAAGAGGAAAATAAAATAGAACGATGGGTAGAAATTGTTGGTTTATAGCCTTTTATGTTTCTGGTCAAGTTTATGTAATTTGGTCACATATCCTTTTGAATTAATGTGCACCAAACCAAATACTTTACTTGTTTCAATTCCAGGGCCCTCGTAAAAGCTGGTTTAGCCTCAGAGTTCTCAGAGATCTTCAAAGCTATCATAGGGTTATGGATGTTTACATGTATTTTTGCATGAAGGTATGGACTAGATTACTTTTCAAGGTCCCTTCTAGCCTTGAAGTAAGTTAAAACAAAAGAAATGTAAGTAAGAAGACGAAAAGAATTCACCTAGCAATTGTAAAGTCTGGGAAATTACACAAAGATTCTCTTTCATCTACACACAAAAATACTACTAAAAATCTTTATACTCCCAGCTGACGCAAATATAGGTGTGCTAAGTAATTGTTCTCAGGATATAAGCAGCCAGGCGAAGGGGTTTATCCAACAAAACCATATTGTTTTCCACATATATTCCCTGCAGTTCCTAAGTCACACTCACATTCTGTCAGTAAGTAATGAAAGAAGAACACATCATGGAAGCCCCACCACAGCATGGTCTAACCCAGAACACAGGTCAGACAAGTGAGATGTGGCCCGAGCTTCTGAACTGAGCATTTTTCTTGAAGATACCCTGGAAAAGAGAATGCAAACGACTGCCCAGTTAGAAGAACGTAATCAAGGTCACTGAATTGGACATCTGAAATTTGTTGAATTGGTGTATGCCCCATCGTTTGCATTCTCAACAGCAGCCAAGCAGGGAAGCGGAGAGAGATGAGCCTGGATGTGAAGACTATGTACTTGTGTCAACCGGGGCACGGGGTCCCTTTGCATCGCTCAGTGATGTCATCTTCCAGTCTCCCCGGGGAAACTATGGTGACGCCAAATTAATTTGTGAACTATGAAGTTATTGGCATGAAGCAATGTAGCTTCAAGTGAGAATGATTATTATAATTAAAAACACTTATTTAATCCATATCCAATCAGGGATGCAAAGAGCTATCCTCCTTTAACTGTACTAGTCCAAGAGGGGCCAAGATCCAGGTTCCAGGGTCACCACTAAACTGCAGTCATTCCGGACTGCCAACGTATAGAAAGTGATTGAGAAATAGTTAATAGTTTCTTACAGAATACAAGGATCATGTATGTGATGGGCCAGAGGCAAGATTTCAAGGTGGCTAGGGAACAGGTTGGCAATTAGCCAGCTCAAAAGCTGGTTGGCCGCGTTGCGGTCACCACTGAAGAGAAGGGTGCCCGGCTTTCCCTACTTACTCGGATGCGTTTGGCTCTACGCATGTCGTCGGCTGTCAGAGAGGTCGGGGCGAGCAGCACGCTCTCCTCGTGCTGTGGCTGGAGATGGAGGGTGTGGGTTTCGGTCTCTTGTTCCAGAGAAGACTGGGCCTCCTGCGGCGGCTGAGGCAGCGGGAGAGCCAGCTCTTCTGGCTGACCCAGCCCATTCCGGGTAGCTGGTTCCCCCTCATCAAACTGGTCCTTGCTAGAGAAGTGTAGCAAGTCCTGAAAGTGGAAGTCATATAGCCAGCCATTATTTTCCTGCCTATGGAGAGATTAGTTCTAGAAGAAATATCAGACAAGATTTAGAATTGTTGCTATTTTTCAAAGGCTAAACGCATAACGCTGGGGGAGTGGGGGGGAATCTCCCTCAGGGAAAGTTAATTGGGCAACTATTCGCAGAATGCAAACTTTGATATATTCTGGAACGCTTCCTGAGGAAAAATTCTGCAGGAATAACAATAATTTTTAATTGTTTAATGAAACCTAAAAGACCTCTCTAATATTTCCAATTTTAAATGTTTAGTACAGCTAAATCAGGATTTTAAGTAACATTTGAAAACATGTTCTTTGTATCCTTTGTCTAGTTGCACTTTAAGGGCCAACCTTTGAACCCATCCACTGCTCTGTGGGAGAAAGAGATGGCAGTCTGCTCCAGACAATCGGGAGCCTTAGAGATCCCAGGGGCAGGCCCATGCTGTCCTATATGGGCACTACGAGTCAGAACTGACTTGATAGCAACAGGAATCGGACTTTAATCAGCAATTCTCAAAGTACGAATGTGGCAGGTCTATAAAACTCGAAGGGGCATTTATATTGCAGAGCAAGTCCAGTACATCTTCGCAGCAAGCCTGTAAGGCGTAGTTCTTTCCCATGCCCCAAGTACCTGGGTCCCATCGCCACACTTCTCTCCATTTTCACTGCTTATTTCCAAACGGATAAATTTTGGAGGGCGTCCTGGCCGTCTACCTGGGCCAAATCGCCTCTTGCCTCGTCCTCTTCCTCTGCCTCTTGTTCTGGGGACAAGAGATTGAGTTTACAGTCAGTTTTTACATTGCTCTCCCATAAACACTCTACAACAAATATCCCCCTAAATCAGCGGTTCTCAACCTGTGGGTCCACACCCCTTTGGGGATTGAACGACCCTTTCACAGGGGTTGTCCGAGTCCTAACAGTAGCAAAATGACAGTCATGAAGTAGCAACGAAAATAATTTTATGGTTGGGGGGTCACCACAACATGAGGAACTGTATTAAAGGGTCGCGGCATTCAGAAGGTTGAAAACCTAAATGATTCTCACTAAGTCCATATCATGGTTTTCCTCCAACTTTATTATTATTTTCTCTAACGTAAATAATTGTTTTGCTAACATAAGCTTTCTAAACTTCTCATCTTGACCTGCTATGTAACCTAAGGAGGTGTCTTAAGTTCTTCAAAGGAGAGGGCTCTAAAAATTCAAAGCACTGACAATATGTTGCTACTAAAAATTCGGAAAGCAAGAAAACAACACTGAAATGATAGGAGAAACCACTTAAGGTTGGAGATGGTGGTATGTACCCAAAGATGAAGTAGAGATTTAGGCAAGGAGGGAGATTGGAAACAGGAAGCTAGGAGAAAATAGAACAGGATATGGTACATTGAGGGGATTGCAATGCGTTATGAGTTATGGAATATAAAACTGAGCAGCTTCTCTACAGACCACTTGAATCACCAAAAGGTTATTAACTATGATATAAGACATCCAAACAGGACAGAATACCCTACCCAGTAAAGTATCTTCCTAGAAAATGTCTTTTTAGACAAGACTGCGTTCTTTCCCTAGTTTTACCTCACAGTCCATCTACAACAGTGGTTGTCAACCTTCCCAGTGCTGCGACCCTTTAATATAGTTCCTCGGGTTGTGGTGACCCCCAACCATAAAATTATTTCCATGGCTGCTTCATAACTTTAATTTTGCTAGTTATGAATCGTAATGTAAATATCTAATATGCAGGATGCACTTTCATTGTTACAAATTGAACATAATTAAAGCATAGTGATTAACCATAAAACCATATGAAATTATATATTGTGAAATATTTGCTTTCCGATGATCTTAGGCACCCCTGTGAAAAGGTCGTTTGACCCTCAAAGGGGTCACAACCCACAGGTTGAGAACCGCTACTCCAGCGATTGTGGTGACATTCAAAAGCTTGTTTTACTGTCAGCTTCTAGAAGTTCAAAACAAATTTCTGATTCAACTGCTTTACAGCATGCTGCATAAGCACTAAATCCCCTTGAGATATCTTTAACATACATAAATTCCTTAGGAAAAGAGACTCAGAAGTTTGTGGGTGTGTAAAATTAATCAGGTCATGCTTTATTATTCTACTCATCTATTCTCAAAATAATAAAAAACCATATATTTCCTCTGGACTTTTTTGTTGTTGTTTTAAGTAATTTTATTGGGGGCTCGTATAACTCATCAAAATCCATACATACATCCATTGTGTAAAGCACATTTGTACATTTGTTGCCATCATCAATGTCAAAACATTTGCTTTCTACTTGAGCCCTTGGTATCAGCTCTTTCCCCTTCCCTCACCAATCCCCCAATGAACCCTTAATAATTTAAAATTATTATTTTGTCATTTCTTACACTGTCCAACATCTCCCTTCACCAACTTTTCTGTTGTCCACCTCCCAGGGAGGGGGTTATATATAGATCCTTGTAACTGGTTTCCCCTTTCTATCCCACCTTCCCTCCACCCTCCTGGTATTGCCACCCTCAACCCTGGTCCTGAAGGATTCATGTGTCCTGGATTCACTGTTTCCAGTTCCTATCTGTACCAGTGTACAGCCTCTGGTCTAGCTGGATTTGTAAGGTAGAATTGGGATCA